CATTAGAGATAGTAGGAACTGCAGATGCTGGAGAATCCGAGACAACAAGGTGCAGAGCTGGATGAACACAGCAGGCCAAGCAGCATCATAGGAGCTCCTATGATGCTGCTTGGCCTGCTGTGTTCATCCAGTTCTGCAGCTTGTTGTCTCAACTATTCAGTTAAGTGGTTCTCCAGCTTTTTTTTTTACAAAAACTTCCTTGCTCAAGATTAGGCCACACTGCATTCATGCCAAATAATTTAAAACTCGGGAACATCCCTAGATGGGTAACTGCCACTATACTGATTGTACTGAATTTGGGCAGACAGAAGAACTGTTTGCAGTGCCTTGCATATTCTTTTTTCTCTCTATCCTGCACTTCTCAAACTGAACTGCTTCTTTTCTGTGAAAAGCACCATTTTAAATTAAATACAAAAAGGGCACCTTTCTGTGTATAACTGATCTCCATAATATCTTGTATATTCCATATAGCTAACAATCTCAAAAGGAAACAAATTATGTTATACCTCTTTAACCGTTTGATTCTACAGATGGTATGAATAATTTATATTTTATGGAGTTAGTGACCCATTTACCAGACTTGCTGGTGCTATTGAGAAATCCGCTCATATACAACTGTTCTTCTTTGATCCATTTGAGAGGTGAATTGGTCATTAATAAAGGCTAGTAATAAGTATGAATTCCTTTAATTAGGAACTCGTCACTGCCAAATGGAAAACTCAGTTTGCCACTCAGCAGATGCATAAAAGATGCAGCGAGATGTTCCCAATATCAAGGTAGGCCTCACTGGATTTCCTGCCTGATTCTATAACAAAGCCCTTAGAGTTTTATTTTGTCTTTGAACTAAAGATCTAAAATGAGGAAAATGGACTGCTTTATAAAACAGAGGAAGTCCAAGGAGTTGTTTGCAGCTTTGGATAAACAAGTGGGGTGAACTGATGAATTGAAACAATGTTAGTTGCTGGAGACAATGAGTCCAGACAAATTGACACCATTTGTGATGGGTTCAGGAGAGCTCAGACCCCATGGGGGGAGTGAAACAGAGAAATAAAAGGAGACCCGCCCGAATTAGCTGCATCAATCTTTTGCTCTCTCCTTCTGCTGTTGGTCTGTCTAAAGACTCCATAACCCTTGATCCCCTTGACAATCAAGAACCTATCTTCCTCAGTCTTAAATATACTCAATGACCTGGTCTCCACAGCCTTCTGTGGCAGTGAATTCCATAAATTCACCACTCTCTGGCTGAAGACATTTCTCCTTTTACTCTAAGGCTATGCCCTCGGGTCTTAGCCTCTCCTACCAATGGAAACATCTTCCCAACATTCACTCTATCCAGGCCATTCAGTATTCTGTAAGTTTCAATTAGATCCCCCTCATCCTTCTAAACTCCAATGAGTATAGTCCCATAGTCCTCAAACGTTCCTCATACATTAAGCTTTTCATTCCTGGGACCATTTTCATGAACTTCCTCTGAATCCGCTCCAGGCTAAGTATATCTTTCCTGAGCTATGGGGCCCAAAACTGCACACAGTACTCCAAATGTGACCTGACCAGAGCCATATAGAGCCTCAGAAGTACATCCCTGCTTTTATATTCAAGTCCTCTCAATATAAATGCCAACATTGCATTTGCCTTCTTAACTACTGATTCAACCTGCAAGTTTACCTTGAGAGAATCCTCGAGTAGAACTCCTAAGTCTCTTTGCACTTCAGACTCCTGAATTTTCTCCCCATTTAGAAAATAGTCCATGCTTCTACTCTTCTTACCAAAGTGCATGACCTCACACTTTCCCACGTTGTATTCCATCTGCCACTTCTTTGCCCACTCTCCTAACCTGTCCAAATCTTTCTTTAGCCTCTCCACATCCTCTACTACCCATTTTTCCACCTATCTTTCTATTGTCTGCAAACTTAGCCAGAATGCCCTTGGTTCCTTCATCTAGATCATTAATGTATAAAGTGAAAAGCTGTGATCCCAATACTGACCCTGTGGAACACCTCTGGTCACCGGCTGCCATCCTGAGAAAGACTCTTTTATCCCCACTCTCTGCCTTCTGCCAGACAGCCAAACTTCTATCCATGTTATTCTTACTATTGATTTAATTTCATTTCTTACTAATAAAGGCAACCTCACCCCCTCTGCCCACCTGCCTATATTTTCGATAAGATGTATATCCTCGGATATTCAGCTCCCAATCCTGATCCCTTTGCAGCCATGTCTCCATGATGCCAATCACGTCATATCTGCCAATTTCGATCTGCACCACATATTCATTTACTTACTTTCTTATACTGCATGCATTCAGATATAACACCTTCAGTCCTGTATTAACTGTCCCTCTTCTCATTGTCACCCGTTTATCCAGTGAGCTTGAAGTTTGATTCCTAACCCTTTCCAAACACTCTGTCCTATTTGTGTCTGTGCTGGATACTTTAATAACCTCTCCAGAGTTCTCCTTTCTGTCATTTTTTTCATATTTTTCTACGCAGTTGACCCCTACAGATGTTAACCTGCTGCTTTGTTTCCTACTGGTAGCACAGAAAAGATAGTGACATTTGCAGTTGTGGAGCTCAAGATCAAGATCACAGACCCTACTTCAGCACTGCTTTTAAACCCAGGATACGAAACTGACCCAGGCTACTTGGGTCCAGGATGGTTAGATTTTATGGCATAGCCTCTTGCAGCTGTCAAAAAGAGAAAGGACAGCACTCCTCTCCACCAAACAGCATCTTCATGTTCCTGTCTGTGAAGTGGGATGCAAGATTTTCTTTCTGGGCAACCCTAATCTTTGAGCACTACACTGACATGAAGCTCCTAGCTTGCAGCATTAGAAGTGGTGGGTGGCTAACACTAGTTGCATGAATACTGCAAGGTCCAGGCAGTGCTGGGTGCGCCCTCTCCTTTTGTCATGCAATTGTATGAGATTAGTATTGAAGAGCCTAGTGACATAATTAACAAGGTGAAAAGCAGAAGATTACGTGAGATATGGTGGACCAGGCACCATGAATCTTGCTCAACAAAACAATGAAAATGGGATTGATAAACCCACAGTCTTTTCAAAAATAAAAATCATGGTAATAGTTGTGCAAACAATAAGCTCAGGTTAATATTTATCAATTGACTTTTCATACTTTATTTGTTAAATGGGAAAGTAATAATTTTTCATCCTTTCTTTCTGCTGTCACCATGCTCAAAGACAAAATTTATTCAAAACTGGGCACCCATTACAGGATGTTCCTAGCATGGTTTGGTTGCAAATTGTTGACTTACAAGCAAATCCACCTTTGACAATAAATAAATTAAAAATGGTGTATTTTCACTTAGAAATATATATCATCCTCGATGAATGTTATTTCCCAAATTTTTTTTAAAGCCAAAGTTTTAGCAACAATGCATGCCACAATTTATTATTTGGCTTGTTAATCTTCTTTCCTACGAGCACACACCAGTAAATACTCACCCAATTGCCTGATCATTTTTTTTCTTTTCCCATTCCTTTGTATTCATTTTGCTGTTTGAAAAAAAATAAAAACAAATTAATTTTCACAATCCAACATGCACTTGCTCATTCAAAATCAACTTGTGCTATATTAATTGCTTCAAATACATGGCAAGCAATTCAAATTTTAGTCACAAACAACTGCACATATTCGAAACTGAACACATTTTCTAGGTCTTGAGTGTATGTCAAGGCTACCCGTATCAGGCATGGAGCAAATCAGGCCTGAAAGTTGGCGCATTTTATTTTGCTCTGACCAATTCATTTATTGCTTCTAAATCAGTAAGTTCATGTGAAAATCATTTCCCAAGATAAATAGTGAGAGATTAAAATTAAACAATGAGATGGATGGAAATTGGGAACAAAGCAATTGATGAAATACTCAGCAGCTCCATCAATTCTTAAAGGAAGATGGCTGATTAAGGTTTTGTATAGAAATCCTAGAACTGAAGAGGGAAAGAAGGCAGGTTACTTTATAGGACTGATCTACACAAAGAGGGAAGAACTTTAAGTGGTGCTATGCCTCATGAAACTTCTATTAATTTTAAATTTGTTTTTGGTCTACTCCTGCTTCTCTTCCTTGTGTTCTGTTTCTTACCATTTTCTTCATTCCCTACTGAATTTTTGACCACCTGAAACTGGGTCAGGTAGGATACAACATTTTTTAAAAATCATGAAATGCGATCACACCTCAGTCACTTTTGGGTTTAACAAAGGCAGAAGAGAGGGCTGGCAGCCAACCTGCTCCCAGAAGATGCACTGACCAGTTAAATATTACAGTGAAGCTGGGAGCTTGAAATGCAACTTTTCTCATAGGTTTAATCCTGGTCAGCGAGGTTTACTAGGTCTTATAATGCCCAGCAGCAGAAAGGAAGCGTGACAGCTTTGGGAGAAAAGGCAAGTGCCTTTATAGCACTACATGCTGGCCAGGACAACCAGGCAGGTGTCTTTCAAGCTGATGATGAGTAGTACTGTTACTGAGAAATTCTTAATAGTTCACATCTGTCTGACATGTTCTGAACGTCGTGTTTGCTTTTTACATAATCATAGAATCCCTACTGTGCGGAAACAGGCCATTTGGCCCATTGAGTCCAAATCGACCCTCTGAAGAACTTCTCACCCAGACCCAAACTCCCCCCACCCACCCTATCCCAGTAACCCTACATTTCCCATGACTAATCAACCTAGTCTTCACATCCCTGGACACTATAGGCAATTTAGCATGACCAATCCACCTAACTTGCACATCTTTGGACTGTGGGAGGAAACCCATAGAACAACCAGCTCATCAGTACTGTTCTTGTTGTCAGAAGAGACTGTGAAATTTATACCAAGTTGACAGATTCAATGATGAGAGATTGAAATTAAGTAAATGGTCTTTTTTAAATCTAGAAGTTCGTTACTTGAACAACTCGGTATTATTAATAGTTTGCTGGCCAGTCCATAAAATTGAAACTAACACGGTTGGATTGATTGTTACGAGCTACAAACCCAGTTTCAGATAATCCTGTAAATCAGTTTCCTGAGAAACAGTGGGTGTCGCTAACATTGTCTCTAAGCTGCACGGCTATTGATGTTCTGCATATGCTGATCGGCGTGCCAATACGTTGACTTGCAGTTCTGCTGCTGTGCACAAACATTGGAGGAAAATATTACAGGAAACATAGGTAATAGTTGAAGAGCCAGTAGCAACTTGTACTATCTTAAATCATTCATTTATTGTATATTCAGATAAAGGCAAAATGTGCATGTGTAGGTTGGTTTGTAGATTCTGGAGGGTCGCAGTTGGTTTCTACACTTGCATGTAAAAGGGAAAAAGTGGGGCTTTCCAATTACAGGGGCAGGTAGGGTGGGGTGCTGTGTGGAATCAACACAGATATGGAAGCAAAGTTGTCAGTTGGGGTACAAACATTCCTGGTCCTCCCACTACTAGCAGCAGTACTGGAAAAGCATTTGCTGTTTCATCCAAGACAACAAGGTGCAGGGCTGGATGAACACAGCAGGCCAAGCAGCATCATAGGAGCAAGAAGGCTGACGTTTCGGGCCTAGACATTCATCAGATGAAGGGTCTAGGCCCGAAACGTCAGCCTTCCTGCTCCTATGATGCTGCTTGGCCTGCTGTGTTCATCCAGCCCTGCACCTTGTTGTCTCGGATTCTCCAGCATCTGCAGTTCCTACTATCTCTGCTGTTTCATCCAGTTGTTCCCCTCTGCCTACAACTGTCAGTTTTTCTGAAGCCTGACCAGCATTAAACTTGGAATAGAGACAGAATGTCTGAGTAATGCAGCTTCTTTAAAATATTTTAATGGATCAGCATCCTCCAAAAAGCAGATTAGCTATCTGCCCTCTGACCTATCTTCGTTACAAGTGAGTAGTTGGTATCGGGTTTCCTTTCTTTTATTTTTAACGTGCACCTGCCTCCTTCTATCTATGGAAGTTCCCCAATTCTGTTACTTCTAGTGGTTGTATTTTCTTAAATATGCTTAACTTCCAATGACTTCTGTTCAATGTTTCCTAATTGCACATTTTAAAAATATTTGCATGGCACAAAGTCTGATATCTGTATCTAATCAGACAAAGTATAGGAATATAGATGTTTTGGACATTAAATAAATAGACTTATAGGGGCAGCAAATTATCAGAAAATTTTAGTAAAGTTGCTTCAGCACAAAGAAATCTGCAAGGTAATTGTATATAAGGTGAACTTTACAGTTGCGTTTATGGTAGGAGGAAATAAAAAAAACTACCCACCTTGTGCAATGTGAAATATTTACTATACTACCCAGGCACAGAAGTGATGTTACACTTTGTCAGCAATCTAAAGATCCACCATGTCCATTAACCAGTTATAAAAAGTTTAAAGCTTATAGTAAAACTTCCACTCAAACACAGGAGGAATTTCAGTCCGTAAACACTTTTAAACTCTTATTTAGCATCAGTGGGAACGGAATTTTGCACAACCAAAAATAATCAGTATGTTAGATAAGAGTATCAATGTTTAATTAATACGTTTGAATTTTTTTTGGGCTAACAGAGGAATGATGAGGGGAATGCTGTTGATGTAGTGTTAATGGACTTCATAAAATGTCACACAATAGACCTGACAGCAAAGTTACAGCCTACTGAATAAAAGGGGACAGTAGCATGCATGCAAAATTGGCTCTGACAGAGAACAGTAGCGATTAATAGATACTTGTCAGATTGGAAGATAGTTTATAGTAGAGATCCCCCAGGGATCAGTATTACAACCCCTGTTCTTTGATACTTATAAATGACACAGACCTTAGCATACATTGTACTTAGACTTCCAGAAGGCATTTGATAAGGTGCCACATCAAAGGTTATTGCTGAAATAAAAGCTTAAGGTGTAGGAGCTAACATATTGGCACGGATAGAAGATTACCTCACTGGCAAGAAGAGCAGAGTGCCTGGAATGAATGGATTGATGTACGAGGAAAGGTTAGGCCTGTATCCTCTGTAGTTCAGAAGGGTCAGATGTGACTTAATTAAAACAAAAAAGATCCTGAGGGGACTTGACCTGGATGTTGAAGCTATGTTTCCTTTTGAGGGAGAATCCAAAACTAAGGTTCCTTGGCCATTTAAAACAAAAGAGATGAGAAATCTATTTTTCTCTCAGAGTTGAATGTCTTTGGAATTCCTTTCCTCAAAAGGCAGTGGATGCAAAATATTTAAATATGTCAAGATAGTAGGAGGCAAATTATTGATTACTAGGGGACAAAAGATTATCTGGAATATGTAGGAATATGGAATTGAGGCTAAAATCAGATCTTATTGAATGGCGGAACAAGCTCAAAGAGCCAAGTTCTGTGCTGTTACCTATCAGACCCTCAAAATTTGCAGAAGGTATAAAACCCAGGAGTATTGTCAACTGTGATGATACTGTAGCATTTCTAAAGGATGTAGACAGGTTCGCGAAATGACTGACAAGTAACGATGATATTTAAAGCAGAGCAGTGTATAGTGACTTATGTTGGCAGACACCCAGGTAGCTTGTGATATTTACCAATAACGATCAGTGAATACATTGCTGGACAGCACTATGCTATGTCAATGTCACACCTACACCATATGCCAGCACCTTATGCAGCTAATATAGTGAATGTGCTCCAACCACCTGGGCCACGTGTCAAAGATTAAGGAAATAAGCGCTCAGTCAAGTCCACAGGGACTGTCATCATTTAAGGGTGTTCCAGTCAGTGAAGACATCATCCAATCTCATTGCAGGAGTTTGAACACACACAGTCAGATGCTTCGGGTGTTTAGGATTGATTTCCACATCAATACTGTCTGAAATCAGGGCCTAGACAGTCCTGTAGGTCCAGGGCAACCAATCTAGGATCAGTGGTAAATCAGTTTAATTGCTGCACAGATATCAGTCAAGGGTATGATGATTCAGTTGGACAGGGTAGTCCTTTCAAGTCAGTCAGGAGGGCGTGCCATGGTCAGTCCTGGGGGTCTGTTGACTGAATGGGAGTTACCGGGTCCACTACCATGTGTGCAAGTTGGGGGATCTCAAATGTGGAAAAAATGGGGATTGGAGGCAATATGCTGCGATGTAGAGGGGATGATAATTGTCAGGCGTTGGGGGGAACCTCCACACAGATGGGAAATGAAAGAGCAATGGAGGGCACTTCTAAATTAAGAGAAGGGGTGAATGTATGGGGAAGACATCGACAATCACCATCATCCTGGCTTCAATGGTGGGATAGGGCATCGTGATGTTTGGCATGTCCGAGCCGTAGGCCTGCAGTTCAAAAGGTAAAGTGGAGACATGATTACTTAAATGGAAGCGTTGCATGGGAACATGTAGAAGTTCAAACCTGATGCAGTTGATTTGGGATGCAAGGAAGAAAGGAATATGAAGGATTTGGGAGACGGTCATTTAGATTGATTCTCAGGCTCTGCCTATCATTCTAAAGCACTATATCTGTATCTGTTGTCTTCTTTCCTCATCAAAATTGTAAATGCACAATGGAAATGCAAAGCAGCTGCCACCACACCTGGAGTGGGCACAGTAAGTTTTTCTTTAATGAGAGGGCGAGCGGGCTCTATTTGTGAGTGATGAGGAACATTTCAAGGGGCAACTGCATTAATCAAGCGCAACAGTACAGGTTAATGACATCGGTAATCACAGAATTCTGCATGTGAACTACATGTAGTGACCAATTATGCCAAATACAAATGCTGGCCCAAACAATCCTGATCATGTCATTGATCATTACAAACTGATCGTAGTCATCCCTGTGAAGCAGAAGTGATCACAGGAAGTGTCACCTGTGGACCACAATAAGTAAAGACAATCCAAGGTCTCAAAGGCTGCATAGGGCATGATGCTCTCAACTTTAACTAAATATTTGACAACTTTTATGAATATGCTGTCTTTTCTTGGGTGATGTTGGGGTGGGGCTCAAATGATTCTACCACACTTACCGTATTTGCATTGACATGGCTTGTGCTGCATGCATTAGAACAAAGTATATTGATGTCAAACGTCCATGTCTAGGCATCCCATGGCCCTCCTTGTTGGAATCCTCCATGTCCCACTGTTTTGTGGACTATGGTAAGCTATCATTTCTGACAGATTCAAATGCTGACTGCTCACATTACTAAGAATCTGTTGTGTTGCTGATATACCCCACTTAGGTTCATTGAAACCGTCATTAATGGATTTAGCCACAGCATGGGTTGTCGTCACTGTGACTGCTGCACAATGAAAGTACTGAGAAATTGAGGAGAAATGAATGGATCATCAAGCCCAGGACTGGCAGCAACCTCTAGCAGCTGCCAAACAACCTCCACATGAAGGTGCAAATGAAAGTTCCCTCAGGATGTCGAGGTATTGGAGGTCCAGTATCTATCATTTTCAATGTTATTTCTTCCACATGAGGAAGGCAGAATATTGCTACTGAATGAGAATAGGAACAATGACATTTGCTGGAGCAGGACTTGTGATCTGAAAGGGTTGGTGGCTATCCTACACTGGTGGCTGACAAAGTGAGAGCTGTATTAAAGTCTAAATGCAACTGGGGATCTCTGTGGGATCTCTCAATCTGCAAACTATGAATGTATGAAGACGTTTGTTCAAGACCACACTGCTTCATTTCCCTCCCCGTGGCAGGTCAGTGCTGCAGCCTGGACAGGCGGCTTTGCCAACATAGTTGGGATTACCCCACGGTATTGTGTCAAGAGCACCATATCAGAACGCGGCTGACTTCATCAATAGAAAAAGCGTTCCTTCTGGTCAATGTCCAAGTCATTAAGTAATCATCAGTACCGCATTTTAGATGTCTGCATTATGCCCTAGAAGCTGTCATGATGTCTGTATCAATGAGAATGCTCAGGTTGCTGCTTCATTTCAAAGCCCGAATGCCTGATAAGGATGGCTGCTGGGAAACAAGAGCTACCCTCTACAACCACGACTGATGATTCTGTTGTATAACCCTTGATTGAATCAGAGCATGGATACGGTGCAGCCCATTCTTCCATGAGGACCATGGTGAAGCAGAGTCAGGTGTCCCGAAGATGATGTTCCAATGCTTGGAATGGGTTGGGGACAGAGTGTGCTATGTAATACAAGCATGCAGTGCTCTGCACATTTGGTGGAGGGAAAGAAGCGACATGATGGTTGCTGAAGAACTTGAAGAGCAGGACCAGTCTTCCAAAGAGGGAAAAAATGTAAGAGGAAGACATTGAGCAGGAAGAAATCACATTAACCATGATAGAATGGTGCAGGATCAGGCTCAATAAGGCAAGTAGGATTTCTGCTTCCACAGGGGTGATAGGGGAATGGTACTTGGTGCAAGTTAGGACACAGGAAGCAGAAGTTTGGACACCTCAAATTTGTGAGATAAGAATATTGGAGAACAACCAAAAGTGCAATGGAACAGCTGAGTATAGAAGTAACAAAGTCACGAATAGGAGTTTATAATGTAACAAAATTTTAAACGACACCAAGGTGGTTCAGTTAGTTTAAGGCAGCTTGGACTACGTTTGATATCAGAATTTATCAATTATGTTTTGCAAAAATATGCAATGAATTTAATACCAGTAAACTAAAATTCTATGAGTCTGCACCTGAAACAGGAGAATCACGATTGTATTTCACATTTAATTATCTAGTACTTCAAAAGGGTACAATTTTAGTTTGCCTCCACACAGTTTGGGATGAGTATTTTAATAGATTTTATGATTAAAAATTATTTTAGAATAAATTAGATCAGTCATTTTATGGCCATGAATTGTAGCCAAAGATGTAACTGTTCACATAAAATTCATAAAATGGTCAAGTGTTATCAGATGATTCATCCACTCTAAACAAAGCCGAGTCTATTTTTAACCACTTTGTTATGAAATATAAATGTATGGTGATTGGTGATTTTTAGTTCTGAGATACTGACAATAACTAAAGAGTTAAATAGCAATTACGCTCAGAAATTATTTTCTTGCCATAGAGATGCTGATAATGAGGAATTCATACTTATTATAGTCAGATTCCTTTCCATTATTACATACAAAATAGGTTGCTCAACACTAATGTCTGTCCACACTATGATTATGAAACAATAAGAACTAATGCAAAGCAAAATACACATGAGTAACAAAGAAAATGACAGAAGTACCTCACATCTTCTTTGGTTAGTTCCCTAAAATAAAAGAACGATAATGAAAATATATGACAATGGACAATGAATATGATATTGTTACAATACGTAGACCTGCAATGAAGAAAAGGATGGGAGAAAACACGCAAATATACCACATTTGCCAAGTAATTGAACTCACTTCAAGTACAATTTCAGCATTGGTATCCCTAAATCATGTGATTTTGTTTGTGATTTTTTTAATGAATGGTTCAAGAGTGAAGTTACATTGGTGTAATTGAATCTGTCAATGTTACATAAATGAATGTTAGTAATATAGTTGTTATTTAGGAAGTCGATCACTTCATCGGTAAATTATTTTGATTTTCCAGATAACATATGGTGTTGAAAATTTCATCCTTTACCTTCCACTTGGAGTTAGGTGTAACAAATCAAACACATATCCCCATTTTTGTACTTCATACATGACATTTTAAAAAATGTGCTTTTCATATTCTTAATGTTTCAGTGTTTGTGTTTCAGTGATATATTCCAAGATGCTTTTATTTGCAGATGACCTTCAATAATATGAATTTTGCATATCGAATGAAAGAACCCTTTACAGTGTTTTAATTATAATATGTAGGGCTGAAATGAATTTAAACATTGTTACAAGTGCATGGTCGATGATAGCTTTAGAATAAAAATATGTCTACTTAAGGAGGTGATTAAATTTTAACCCACAGGGTAATATCAACATAATGCTAAATAAAGTATATGACCAAATATGAACGAGTTACCTGTACTTTGGTTGGTGAGAATCAAAAAGAACTTGGCGTGCAGTTGTATTGTCATGTTCTGCAAAAAAGCTGAACAAAAAAGGAAGGACATTTATATTATTTACATAATTCATACATTAAGCAGGTGAAGGGATAAACCAGATTTTCTTTTTGAAAACAACTATAGCTTATAATTTATACTTACACTAAGTTATATAGCCCCAACATCCCCATTCCTCTGAAGTCAGTCTTTGGGTCTTCACCTTGGAAACCTATTTCACACCATTGCTTGCTAATTCGACCATTCAATGTTACATCAGGCCGAAGGAAAGTCCACAGCTGACAGATTCATAGAAAACAAAAAAAAATTTAAATTAATACTGGAAGATGAATATACCACATAGAAGAGAGAAAGTGAAGTTAAACTATTATTAGTGCCTGCATGGCAGAAAATACAGCTAACACTGGTTTAATATTCCTAATGTATCGAAAACACAGTTGTCAATCACTTCCTTGTAGGAAAGCATACAAGGGTGGGCTGTGTTCCAGACCTGTATTATTTTTACACATTAAAAACTTATTGAAAGTAACTAGTTCAACATCGCTTTTCTAACTGATGACTCTTATTCACTTACTCTTGCATCCCTCTCTCATTGCTATCTGCTTCCAGCAAACCACGTTTCTAGCTTCCATCGCTTCAGTGTTTGTCATTCTTAACATTCCAGCTCACTGCTTACCCCTGCCTTTCCTTCCTCCCACTTACTGCTTTTCTCGCCATTTCATTCTTCAACCTTCTATTGTTCACTGATTACCTCTTCTGAGCTACTCACTTCCTCCTGCTCTCAACTCTTTTGCTGCTTCCCTCTCACCTCCTTCCTCCGAGCTCTTGCTCACAGGAGACGGAAGTGACAAGCAGTAGTTGGGGCTAAGAAAGAGAAGTTGCAACCAGGAACAAGTTAGGAAAAGTCAAGAGAGCAAAGACTGAGAAAGAGTGAGAAATGGTATAGAGAGGAGTGAGGGTGTCTGGAGAGGTGGCAAGTGAAATGGCAGGATGATTTAAAAAAAAAACGAGCATTTGCAGTTTCACCACAATTCTTAAAGCATGCACAATAACTGAGTTCAAATGGAAGCAGTGCTGTTTGAATAAGTTGCTAATAAACCATGCCAAAATAAAAGTACATTTTAATACAATGATATCTAATCATCTTGCACTACCACTATGCTGTATGTTCGACTTCAAACAGATCAAGCAACTCAGAACTAGGCATCCATGAGGTACTGTAAGAAGTTTTTATTAATCTATTTACATAATACATAATATGATCAAGCAGAGTCAGTATGGCTTTATGAATGGGAAATCATGCCTAACAAATGTATTAGATTTCTTTGAGGTGGCAGCAAGCAAGACAGACAAAGGGAAAGCAGTGGATGCACCATATTTGGCTTTTCATAAGGTGTTTGACAAGATACCATACATTACACAAGGTTTTGGAGGTACAACAGCGCTTTAGACAGAGATAAGGAGGAATTTCTCTCAGAGACCAGTAAATCTGTGTAATTATTTACTGGAAAGAAAGCAGTAGAGGCTGGATCATTAAGTATATTCAAGGCTGATTTTTGACCAGTAAGGGCATCATGGGCTATGGGGAAAGAAACAGCAAAGCAGAGTTGAGGATTATCAGATTAGCCACGATCTCATTGAATGGCAGAGTAAACTCAATGGGTCGAATGGCCCAATTCTGCTCCTGTGCCTTAAGATCCAATAGAACTGGAGATGTTTGCACAATATTCAGCAACATTCAGGATTCCTCAAATTCTGATATAGTTTGTCTCCATATGCAACAAGCCTGACAACATTCAAGCTTAGGCTGATAAGCACCAAGTAACATCCATGCCTCAATGCACTAGGCAATGACCATCTTCAACAAGAGGCGATCTTACCATTGTCACTTGATGTTAAATAACAGTCATTATTGTCAAATGCCCACCATCAATGATCCTAGGGTTACTATTGACGAGATCCTGGACTGGTCAAGCCATTTAAATGCAATGGTTACAACAGCAGATTAAAGGTTAGAAATTCTGCTATGTTTGATTCACTTCTTGTCTAGCACTTACGTCCAACAACACAAGAAGCTTGACAACGTCCAGGGCAAAGTCACTCACTTGACTGGCACCCATCCATCATCACTCCCTTCATCACTGATTTACAGTGACAGTAGTGTGAACCATCTAAAAGATGCCTGGCAGAAACTCACCAAGGTTCATTCTACAGCATCTTCCAAACCCACAACCTTTACCACATAGAAGGACAGGGGCAGAAGACGTGTGGGAACATTACTTCTAGCAAGTTCCCCTCCATGCCATACACCATCCCGATTTGGAATTACATTGTCATTCCTTTGCTATTGCTGGATCAAAATCCGAGAACTCTCTTCCTAACAGCGTTATGCATACACCTACACTGGGTCCTGCAGTGGTTCACAAAAGCAGCTCACCACTACCTTCTGCAGGGCAGTTAAGGTTGGATAATAAATGCCAGCCTAGCTGATGCACTCACATCCTATGAACGAACAAACAAAAAAAATTCGGGGAACAGGAAGTTCCAGTTGGTTTCCACTTATTTTTTATTTCAAAATATTCAATGCTGTCACAAAACAAGGCTTTTTGCAAGGTTTCCAATAGGCAACTCAGAAAAGTCAAAGGGTTTCTGAACAGTGAATTTTAAGTGGTTGCAAAAAGGCAGTCAGAAGAGAAGGTTGCTATGTTTGGAAACAAAAACAGAAATTGCTGGACAAACTCAGCAGATCTGGCATCTGTGGAGAGAAATCAGAATTAATGTTTCGGGTCCAGTGACCCTTCTTCAGAACTATGTTGCTATGTTTGGGCTACCCATAGTCCATTACAGAGAAACGGGGAGAAGAGGCCTCACCTCAGAAAGTCAAGAGTAGTCCAGAGAGCCATGGGATGGAGGTAAGAATTGTAGTTTGGGCTCAGGAAATGTCTTCTGTTCTGTGGGAGCTCAGAAGATGCCATGTGCGATTATTAGCTCAGTGCAGCTAAAAGCAAATGTGAAGGAATCCCAGTGTTTGCTTCATGCAGTTGAGTAAGATTTGAACTCAGACAAATGTCGGGGAAATACAAATATAGTGAAGCTAGCTGTCTGTGGGCAAGCTGAAATTGTACTTGTGAATCAGAGCTGCAGTCAGTTTCCTGAATCCTGAGGAGTGTGGCCCTGATTTCAGAAAGAAATACCAGAAAGTGAGTCATTATTGAGACAGACCATGACGGAGTAGCTTTTGAGGGAGTTCTGAAGCTGTGTTCAAAACAGAAGAAACTGGAATCCCTTGTAAAATTTTGATGAGATTTGATAACCCATAGTATCGCCAGTGTCTGGGGGTGAGTTGCTGAAGAACCCATGAGGTCCATTTTGACCAAACACGCTATTTTATGAGCTCTATAGGGTATTTGATCACAGCTTGTACTGTTACCCCTGTTTGCCTCAATACGTATTCTGGATGTTAAGATATAAACATTGAAGACTGCTTTTCTTTTCCAACATTATGTAGTAAAGTTTATTGTCGTTTGTTCAAAACCGTAGAATCTTGTGACATTATTATCTTAAGGACCAGGATTCTCAAAATTTGTTCTCTTTAAGAAAGGTTTCTGGTCCAGAACCATATTGCAATGTAAATTCGGCATTCTGTTCTGGGATCATAACACTTCTAAAAGCGTCCTCCTTTCTAAAAAAAAAACAGTCACAAATACCTTTAATTCAGTGTAAAAGAGAGACCAGGAGCATGCCGGAAACATGGAGGTTTTAGAAAAGGAAAAAAAATCAATTAATCTAAGAAATGGATGCAAAATCTAACGTGAAACTTGCAGAGCTTAACAAACAATTTTATTGTCATTTATCAAAAGTTCATTACAGGCTACAATAACAAATGTATGACAGATGCTGGGAAATGAATGAACGCAGAAAACGCCACAGGCACTCAGCAGGTCCAGAAGCATTCATTTTCCTTCTGCTCACTTTTTTTGGAAATGAATGTTGGTGACAATTCTATCTTCCCCATTTTTCTCTTTCAGGTCTTTCTTTTGTTCCAATGCTGGATCATTACTTTCATTTTACTTGGCATCATATCCTTTTAGTCATGTAAATGATCTCACTTTATCATTGTCCTTCCATTTTATTCTTCCCTCTCTCCCTTGTCTGCACGTAACACTTGTTACTTTTATTTCAGTGCTGTTGGAAGATTCTGAAATGGAAACACACTCTCTCTCCATGAATACTGACAGACCTTAAGTCTTTCCAGTACAGACAAGTTATTTTAATGGAAAATGGTTCATAGGGAAATTGAATAAAAAACAAATAGGAGAAGCAAATAAAAAAGTATGAGATTAAAAGGTAATCCTAAGTATTCCACAGGCATATACATTTATCTAAGATCCAGTGCTGATGAGAAAAAAAAATTTTGAATCTTCAACAAATGAACTTTATTGTCCAGGTATTCACCATCACAGGACAGTTGCTATGCTCAATGCCACAACTGAATTCTATCAGGGGAGGCAATGGCCTAGTGGTATTATCGCTGGACTGTTATTCCAGAGACCCAGATAATGTTCCAGGAACCTGGGTTTGAAACCTGCCATGGCAGATGGTGGAATTTGAATTCAAAATAAAAAAAAAACTGGAATTAATCGTCTAACGATGACCATGAATCTATTATTGGAAAAACCCATCTGGTTCATTAATTTACCTTAGGGAAGGAAATTGCCATCCTTACCTGGTCTGGCCTACATGTGATTCCAGACCTACAGCAACAATCCAGACTCTTAACTGCCCTCTGGGCAATTAGGGATGGGCAATAAATGCTGCTTGGCCAGTGACGCCCTCATCCCATGAATGAATATAAAAAGTAACATCGTTGAGAAGTTGATTACTTTGGAGTAACACAAGCATCGAGATAACAAAAGATTTCACAACAGATCAGTTAAGTGTAGCGATTGACTACTTTTGTGCTTTTCTAAAAAGTTTATTTTTGCAAGTGTAATTCAGCTCCCTGATAACAGAAAAAGGAATACATTAAGTATTTCTGCACCATGTCAATTGTACAACTGGTTAGACACCTGGCAGCTTACTTATCTCCACTAAATCGTATATTCAAGTAGCAATATTACAACTTTCATCCCTTGCCACAACTACATGACCTATTATTAAACGTTAAAAATTAATAAATAACTGGGTTTTAAAACCAAAAATGCTTAGCTAAGTAGTGCTCATGCATAACCACTTGTTCATAAAGCAACTTTTGTACATTTCCACTAAGAGATTTTCATGCAAATGTTTTTATTTAAAGAAAGCAAATCATTCAATTTGCAAAATATCACTCATTCTACAAATACAATAAGTCAGCTAAATTGGCTCCAATTTTTCCTTGTTACTGAAAACATTGCCAAAAAAGGCAGCAAGGTTCTCTAGGACCACTGCAATGTTTAATCAAGGGACTTCTCTAGATGGTAATACAGATTTTGTCTACTTATAATAGTTCTTTCATAGGAGATCATACTGCTATTAAGTCAGTGAAAGCCAATGGAATGACTTGGCAAAGTTAAGTGAAAAGCTGGAAAATTGACTCTTAAATACCATAAATTGGGCAGCAAGGTGTCATAGTGGTTAACACCGCTGCCTCATGGCACCAGGGAAAGTTGTGCAGGGTTAGTTGGATTGGCCATGCTAAATTGCCCTGTAGTGTCGAGGGATGTGTGGGTTAAATGGATTAGCCATGGTAAATCAGGTTACCGGGGCGGTGGAGAGGTAGGGCGCTGGGTCTGTGTGGGATGTTCTTCTGAGGGTCAGTGCTGACTTGATGGGCCAAACTGTAGGGTTCTAATGATTTTATACAACGTAAAACAATGGTGAAAAGAGGAGTAGGGTTGACGAAGTCAACTATATTTGCTCAGGAAAAAGATGGTGCCAAAGTCATAGCGAAAGAAGAGATGCTTGATTAGTTAAAAATTGAAAAGAGAAGGTATTAGATACACTGGCTGTATGCCAAGTTGATAAGTCACCAGGACCAAGTCTCAAGTATGACAGGAAGGTTAGGGTTGAAATTGCAAAGGCACTGGTCATAATTTTCTATTTCTCTATGTGTACACGCGTGGTGCCACAGCAACTTGTAAAAGTTGTACCTGTGTGCAAAAAAAAGGGGGAACAAAGGCTGGGAATTCTGTGGTTTGTAACTCTCCTCCTGACTCCCCGAAGCCCAGCACCCCTTACGCTATAGAGACAGATGTTCACTTCTGGCACCAATGATGCGAAGTATCAGTAGTCTATATCACCTGCAAGATTCACTACAGCAACTCACCAAGGCTCCTTTCACTTTCCAAATCCAGGACCTCTACATTTGGATGGACAAGAACAGTAGACACATGGGAATACCATGACTTGCAAGTTGTCCTTCAAATTGCATACCAATCTGATTTCAAGCCATATAGTGTTCCTCCAATGTCACTGTCAAAATTCTGGAACTCTCTCCCCAACAGTGCAGTTGATGCACCTCCTTCTGGAAAGGAGGTCACCAGATCACCTGAAGGGTCTTTAGGGATGGACCAGTGCTCACCTAACCAACAATTTCCACATCCATTGATAGAATGAAAAAAAGAGTAAAAGTTAAAAAAAAAAGTTCAATTCTAAAGAGGGTGTATGAAAAGAGGGACCTGGGAATAGATGTGCACAAATCACACAGACAGACAGATTCAGAACATAGTTAATGAAATGTACATGATCCAGGACTTAAAATAGGTATTAAGTACAAAGGTAAGGAAGTTATCATAGACCCCTATAAGAGACTGGCCTTTACTGGGACTTTGTGCCATTCTGGGCACCATACCATACCTGGGTTACACGATGGCTCAGTGGTTAGCACTGCTGCCTCACAGCACCAGGGACCTGGGTTCAATTCCAGCCTTGGCTGACTGTCTGTATGGAATTTGCACATTCTCCACGTGTCTGCATGGATTTCCTTCGGGTGGTCTGGTTTCCTCCTAGGTGAATTGGCCATGCTAAATTACCTATGATGTCCGGGGATGTGTAGGTTAGGTAGATTAGCCCTGGGAAATGCAGGGTTACAGGGATCTGGGTGGGATGCTCTTTGGAGTTGGTGCGGACTTGTTGGGCTGAATGGCTTGTTTCCACACTGTAGGGATTCAATGTTACCTAGGAAAGACATGAAGGTATTATGCATGAGAAAATCACATGAAAATCTTCAGTTCTGAAGATAGATCAGAGAAGGGTAGATTAATTTCCTTAGAAAAGAGGAAGGTTGACAGGAAATTTGATAGAGGTATTCAAGATCAAGAGGGGTCTGAACAGAAAAGATAGGGAAAAAAATATTCCCTTTGGTGGAGGGATCAAGAACTAGAGGTCAGCAATTTAAGGTTATTGATAAAATAAGGTGACATGAGGAAAAGCTTTATGCAGCATGGATCAGGATCTGGAATCCACAGCCTGAGAACATATATGCAGATTCAATTGCAGCTTTCAAAAGAGAATTAGATCATAAAAGGAAAAAGAAAGAGGACTACAACAGAAAAGAGGCAAGAGTGGCGCTAGGTGAACTGTTCTTGCAGAGATATATCACAGATGTGATAGGCTGATTGGTCTCCTTCAGTGCTGTAACTATTTTATGGCACAATGATACTCAAATGATTTACAAAACAGGGAACCAGAGGATTTTTAAAAAAAAAATTCACTCATGTGACATGGGCATCGCTGGCTGGCCAGCATTTCTTGCCCATCCAGAGTTGCCCTCGAGAAGGTGGTGGTGTGTTGCCTCCTTAATTGCTGCAGTCCACAAGTTGCAGGTAGACCCACAATGCCAATTGGGGGGGAAATTCCAGGACTTTGACCCAGTGACAGTGAAGGAATATCGATATACTTCCAAATCAGGATGGTGAGTAGCTTAGAGGGGAGCTTGCAGATGGTGGCATTCCCACATATCCCGTTGCCCTTGTCCTTCTAGATGCAGGTGATCATGGGATTGGCAGGTGCTATCTAAGGATCTTTGGCAAATTTCTGCCATGCATTCTGTATACAGTACCCATTGATGCATAATGGAGACTGGAGAGAGTGGATACTTGTGGATATGGTGCCAATCAAGCAGGCTACTTTGACCTGGATGGTGTCAAGCTTCTTGATGGTTGTTGGAGTCACACCAATCCAGGCTCGGGGAGAATATTCCATCACACTCCTTGTAAATGATGGACAGGCTTTGTGGAGTCAGGAAGTGAGTTACTCCCTCAGTACTCAAAGCCTTTGACCTGCTCTTGCAGTCACTGTGTTTAAATTGCAAGTTCAGTTGAGTTTCTGGTCAATGGTAAACGCCAGAATGTTGATCGTGGGGAATTCAGTAATGACAACACCATTGAATATCAAGCCACGGTGATTAGATTGTCTCTTATTGGAGATGGTCCTTGCCTGGCATTTGTGTGGCGTGAATATTACTTGCCACTTGTCAGCCCAAGCCTGGATATTGGCCAGATCTTGTCGCATTTGAACATGGACTGCTTCAGTGTCTGTGAAAAATTAGAATTAGGAACATAAAAAGACTTCAAAAAACACACTTCATGTGCCTAATATTGAAAAGAGTGGCACTGTATGGCAGAGGAAAGGAAACATTAAAGCAAAATAGGCAGTCTCTCCATACACTCACCTTCAACAGAGTTTCTTCATGGTGTGGATTTTCTGAATCATACTGATCTTTGCGGAGTTTTTCAACTTCTGCAATCAATCTCCTATATCCTACAATCTGTAGGAGACAGGCCTGCAGAGAAATCCCAAACCTTGACAGAATAAATTAGGAGTTTCAGTTCATCTATATTGAGAAACAAATATTATTTACATGTACTATTCATTTCCTTTGTCATGGCTTGGCAACAGTCAGTGCAATATTCTCTCTAGCTTTATGTTAATACTACATTGTGCCATCAATTATGTCACGAGACCACAAACGTGCATCTTATGTGCGACCCAACTGCCTTCAGTGGCCTCAATCACCTTGACTGGCACTGTCATCATGGCAGTGAGATCTTGATTTAAGATTTTAGCTCCCTCCTCATAATTTCTTGTCCATCATAAATGAGGACAATCCCGAATCAGTTCCTCAGATGTATCAAAACTCATTGTAGGTAAATTTACCCCTCCATGCTGTCAAAGCAGACATACAGGATCTGACAGGAGAGTGAGATTAAAATGAAGCCAAAAGTTTATGTGGCTTTGATTGCAGGAGGAAACATGTTCAGCCACAGTTCCTGTCCCAATAGCTAACTTGAGATTCCTATAAATATGTACATGTGGTAAAAGAGATCACTAGCACAGGATCCAGTTTGGAGGCTGGTGATGTCCTTTAATATTTATCTTAAGTCACTCAAGCTGGTAGCACAGAGTCAACTGACACTTTTAAAAGGTGATTAGACTTGGCCTCAAATAGTGAATGATTGGAAAAGCTTATAATAATTGGATAAATTAGTACATACAGATATATTCTATTCAGCTGTTTATAATAATAGAGCAGTAAATTTGTTACTCCCTTTTCTTCCTTTCCACTTCTCTCCTTGTTCCCTTTTCTCTCTTCCTCCTTCCTTCTCTATTCCCTCCTCCACCCACTTTTATCTTCCCAAATGCCTCCTCCAATTTCCCCAACATGCGACACTATTTGAACATGAAAATTTAAATTGGTTTTGATTGTCTACATACAATGACATGGGATTGACGAATACAATACTGCTCTTGAAACTATAAAGGTTTAATGTTTAACATGTGATTTATCACAGTATTTTGAAAAAAAGCCTCATCCTAATTTGGAACGATGGGAAAACATCTGCCCCTTCAAGGCCACCAGTATCTTCTTTTGGTAACCATTCATTTTCTAAGATTGAGGTTGCATCATTTCCCAGTAAACAGATTTACTACATACACATGAAAACTGAAGAAGTCTCAATAATCATTTGCAAATTGAAGACTGTCCTACACAGCAAATTTTCATGTTCAGTGTTGAATAATTATGCTATGAAATTCAGTCTTGGACAGATCCACTTTCAGGAAAAGTAATATTGAAAGAGCGATTGCATGGAACTGTGTGTAGGAGGATTGTGTATATTATGCATGTGAATTTAAAGACCATAAGAAACAGAAGCATCAGTAGGTCATCTATCTGGTCCCTTGACCCTGCTCCACTGTTCATCAGGATCATGACTGGTCTGACATTCCTCATTCCCACTTTCCTGTAACCCTGGATTCCCCTACTCATCAAGAATCTCTCTCATCCTTATTTATACACAAGCACTCTGTCCCTGTGTCTCTGTAGCAATGAGTTCTAAGGCTCTTAACTTTCAGTGAAGAAATTCCTCCTCACCTCAGTCTTAAATTGGTGTCCTTAACTCTGAGACTATGCCCTCTGGTCCTGGACTCTCCCATGAGGGGAAACATCCTCTCAGCATTTACCTTGTGAAGCCCTTCAGAATCCTATATGTTTCAATGAAATTACTCTCATTCTTCTAAACTGAATAGCGTGCCAACCTGTTTAATCTTTGCTCATGAAACAGTCCCTCCATACCAGGGATCATCTTAGTGAACCTTCTTTGAACTGCCTCGTGTGAAATTATGTCTTTCCTTTAATAAGTCTAAAACTGTTCACAGTACTCCAGATGTAGTCTCACCATCACCTTGTACAGTTGCAGTAAGACTTTCCTACTACTCCTATGACACTGCTAAAAGACCACTGAAAATGCACAGTATAAATTTTAAATTCCATTACTGTGGATTGGTATCAGGATTAATTTTTTTCAGTCGCATGATGTTATCAACAGTCCTTTCGATATCGTCTACATGGGTTACCACAGCAGACTGGAGTAGCTGCCAGAAAGAAAGAGAACAATAAGACATAAACTATTAGTCAACTAGAAAATAGTTCAAAATTGATTTAAGCAATCTTAATAGAAGATGTCATCGTGCATTTACTGATTTTAGTGAGGCACAAATATCAAAATTGAACGACTTTTCAAAATTAATGTTTATACTGCCTGCTCACATTGGTTGTAAATGAATATTTGACTAATAGAATAGAATTAAATATGACTATGCTGGAAGAAGTGTGTTTGGGGGCGGGGGGGGTGGTGGTGTGGTGATGGATGGCAGTTTCAGGAAGATAGAAAAACCTCAGATACAGTCAGGGAGATGAGTTACCTCTAGGAAAGTTCAGAAAGGTAGGCAGGTAGTGCAGGACTCTCCTGTGGCTAGCCCCACCTCAAACAAGTGTGCTGTTTTAGAAAATGTAGGGCGTGATGGATCCTCAGGGCAATGTGGTACCAGAAACCTGGCTGTTGGTACTAAGACTGGCTCTATTGTAATGAGGCTTATGTCAGGTTCCAAGCAGTCAATTGTGATAGGGGACTGTCTAGTCAGGGGCACAGATAGATGTTTCTGTGGCCGCAATGAGACAGAGTGGTGTGTTGCCTCCCTGGTGCCAAGGTCCAGGATGTCTCGGAGAGAATGCAGAATATTCTCAAAGGGTGACCAGAAGGAGGTAATGTGAACATCGGCATAGGAAGAGAAAAGGACGAGGTTCTGAAGGGACAGTATAGGGAATTAGGCAGGATGTTAAAAAAGTAGGTCCTCGAGGATAGTAATATCTGGATTACTCCCAGTGCCATGCGCCACTGAGAACAGGAAAGGAAGATAGAGTAGATGAATGCATGGCTGAGGACCTGGTGAATGCGGCAGGGATTCACACGTTCGGATCATTGGAATCTTTTCTAGGGTAGAAGTGACCTGTATGAGAAGGATGGGTTGCACCTGAATTGGAACAGGACCAATATCTAGGTGGGGAGATTTGCTAGTGCTGCTCGGAAGGCTTGAAACTAGTAAAAAACGTTGGGTGGGGGGGGGGGGAAAGAAGGGAAGGGTACCCAGAGAAAGAGAGAGAAAATAGGTAACTCTGAGGTCGGTATAATTGAGAGGAGGAGCAAGTCAAATAGTCAAGGCAGGCAAGAGCTAGGCAGAGGACGAGGTAAGATTGATAAATTTAACTGCATTTCATTCAATGCCAGGCTATGACGATTGCCAATAAGAGATAGACAATCTAACCACCACCCCTTGACATTCAATCGTGTTACTATTCCTGAATCCCCCACTATCAACATTCTGGGGTTTATCATTGAAAAGAAACTCAACTGGACTCACCACATAAACATAGTAGCTACAACAGCAGGTCACAGGTTAGGAATGCTGCAGCGAGTAATTCATTTCCTGACTCATTAAAGCCTGTTCACAATCTACAAGGCACCAGTCAGGAGTATGATGGAATCCTCCCCACTTGCCTGGATGAATGCAGCTTCAACAACACTCAAGAAGCTTGACAACATCCAGAACAAAGCTGTCCACTGGCTCTGCATCCACTACCTCCACCACCAATGCTCAGTAGCAGCATGTGTACTATCTACAAGGTGCACTGCAGAAATTCACCAAAGATCCTCAGACAGCACCTTCCAAACCCATGACCACTTGCAGTTAGAAGGACACGAGCAGCGGATACATGGGATCACCACCACCTTCAAGTTCCCTTCCAAGCCACTCACTGTCCAACTTGGGTATATATCGCCATTTTTTCTCACTGTCGCTGGGTCAAAATCCTGAAATTCCCTTCTTAATGGCATAGTGGGTCCACCCACAGCAGGTGGACTGCAGCAGTTCGAGAAGGTAGCTCACCACCACCTTCAAGGGCAATTACAGACAGGCAATAAATGCTGGCCAGCCAGCAAAGCCCATATCCCACAAATGAATGGGAAAAAAAAAGGAAGCCTGACAGGTAAGGCAGATGAACTCATGGCATTGTTGGGAACATAAGACTGGGGTATCAAAGCTATTCCAGAAACGTGGCTCAGGAAAGGCCAAGACTGGCAGCTTAACGTTCCAGGGTATAGATGCTATAGGAATGATAGAAAGGGAGGCAAGAGAAGAGGGGGAGTGGTGTTTTTGGTTAGGGATAATATTGCGGCTGTACTCAGGATATTCCTGGGAGATCGTAAAGCGAAGTTATTTGGGTGCAACTGAGAAATAAGAAAGGGATGTTCACCTTATTGGGATTGTACTAGAGGCTCCCTCCCCAGTAGACACCGGAAATTGAGGAGCAAATTTGTAAGGAGATCTCAGATATCTGTAAGAATGATAGGGTTGTAATGGTAGGGGATTTTAACTTTCCAAACATAGACTGGGACTGCCATAGTGTTGAGGGCTTGGATGGGGAGAAATTTGTTAAATTTGTACAAAATAATTTTCTTATTCAGTATGTGGATGTACCTACTAGAGAAGGAGCAAAATCTGACCTTCTCTTTGGAAAGAAGGAAGGACGAGTGACTGAGGTGTCAGTGGGGGAGCACTTTGGGGCCAGTGATCATAATTCTGCTAGTTTTAAAATAGTTATGGAAAAGGATAGATCTGATCTAAAAGTTAACCTTTAAACTGGAGTAAGGCCAATTTTAACGGTATTAGGCAAGAACTTTCAAAAGTTGATTGGGAGGGGCTATTTGCAGGTGAAGGGATGGTTGGAAAGTAGGAGGCCTTCAAAAATGAGATAATGAGAGGCCAGAGGCAGTATGTTGCTGTTAGTGTAAAGGGCAAGGCTGGTAGGTGTAGGGAAAACTGGATGACTAGAGAAATTGAGGTTCTGGTCAAGAAAAAAGGAATTGAGCAGGTATAGACAGCTGGGACTGAATGAATTCCTCAATGAGTAGAAGGTCAGTAGGAATATACTCAAGAGGGAAATCAGGAGGCAAAAAGGGGCATGAAATAGCTTTGGCAAATAGGGTTAAGAAGAATCCAAAGAGATTCTACAAATACAAATATATTCGGGCAAAAGAATAACTAGGGAGAGAATCGAACCTCTGAAGATCACCAGGGCCATCTATGTGTAGAACCGCAGGAGATGGGTAAGATACTAAATGAGTATTTTGCATTAGTATTTACTATGGAGAAGGATATGGAAGATAGAGAATGTGGAGAAATAAACCGTGATATCTTGAAAAGTGTCCATATTACAGAGGTGGTGGTGCTGGATGTCTTGTAATGCATAAAGGTAGATAAATCTCTGGGACATGATCAGCTGTATACCAGAACTTTGTGGGAACCTAGGAAAGTGATTGTTGGGCTCTTTGCTTAGAGACTTGCATCATTGATAGCCATGGGTGAGGTGCCAGAAGACTGGAGAATGTCTAATGTAATGTCATTATTCAAAAAAGGTGGTAAGGAAAAGCCAGGAAACTATAGACCGATGAACCTGACATCAGTGGTTACTAAGTTGTTGGAGGGGATTTTGAGGGACAGGATTTACATGTATTTGGAAAGGCAAGGACTGATTAGTGGTGGTCAGTACGGCTTTGTGTGGGAGGTTTTGTCTCACTAACTTGATTGAGTTTTTTGAAGAAGTGACAAAGAAGATTGATGAGGCCAGAACAGTGGACATTGTCTACATGGACTTCAGCAAGGCATTTGACAAGGTTCTGCATGGTAGACTGATTAACAAAGATAGATCACAAGGAATCCAGGGAGGGCTATCAATTTGGATTCAAAATGGGCATGAAGGTAGGAGACAGAGAATGGTGGTAAAAGATTGTTTTTTGGACTGGAGGCCTGTGACTGGTGGTTTGCCGCAAGGATCTGTGCTAGGTCCACTGCTTTTAGTTATTTATACAAATGGTTTGGATGTAAATACAGAAGGAATGGTTAATAAGTTTGCAGATGACACCAAAAGTGGTGGTGTAGTGGACAGTGAAGAAGGTTATCTCAGAGTACTACTGGACCTTGATCAGCTGGGCTGAGGAGTAGCAGATGGAGTTCAATTTAGATAAATGTGAGGTATTGCATTTTGGTAAGGCAAATCAGGGGAGGACTTATACACTTAAGGGTAGGGTCCTGGGGAGTATTGCCAAATAAAGAGATCTTGGCGTGCAGATTCATAGTTCCTTGGAGGTGGAATCACAAGTAGACAGGGTACTGAAGATGAGATAGTAGGAACTGCAGATGCTGGAGAATCCGAGACAACAAGGTGCAGGGCTGGATGAACACAGCAGGCCAAGCAGCATCATAGGAGCAGAGAGGCTGACGTTTCGGGCCTAGACCCTTCATCAGAAAAGGGGGAGGGGAAGGGGGTTTTGAAATAAATAGGGAGAGAGTGGGAGGCGGATAGAAGAGGGATAGAGGAGAGGATAGGTGGAGAGGAAACAAACAGGTCGAAGAGGCGGGGATGGGGCCAGGAAAGGTGAGTGTAGGTAGGGAGTTAGGAAGGGGATAGGTCAGTCCAGGGAGGACGGACAGGTCAAGGGGGCGGGATGAGGTTGGTCGGTAGGAGATGGAGGTGCGGCTTGAGGTGGGAGGAGGGGATAGGTGGGAGGAAGAACAGGTTAGGGAGGCAGGGACGAGTTGGACTGGTTTTGGGATGCGGTGGGGGGAGGGGAGATTTTGAAACCTAGAATACTCCTCCTCCCACCCACCTTCCTGCAAAAATGCTATCCCCTATTCCCAATTCCTTCGCCTCCGCCGCATCTGCTCCCAGGATGAGGCATTCCACTCCCGTACATCTCAGTTGTCCTCGTTTTTCAAGGACCGTAACTTCCCCTCCTCGGTGGTCGAGAACGCCCTCAACCGTGTCTCCCACATCTCCCGCACCTCATCCCTCACACCCCGTCCACGCAATAAAAACCAAAAAAGAATCCCCCTCGTCCTCACGTACCACCCCACCAACCTCCGGATCCAACGCATCATCCTCCGACACTTCCGCCATCTGCAATCCGACCCCACCACCAAAGACATCTTTCCCTCCCCACCCTTATCTGCTTTCCGGAGGGACAACTCTCTCCGTG